TTGACAGATGATGCTGTGTAGTGATGCAGAAGGATACCGTGAGGAGTTTGTCCATCTGGGAGGAGCTCACAGTACAGCTGCTGCTCCTCCATACTGAAAGAAGCCAGTTGAGGTGGTTTGGGCATCTGACAAGGATGCCTCCTGGGCACCTCCTGGGCGAGGTGTTCCGGGCATGTCCCATCAGAAGGAGGCAGACCCAGGACATGCCGGACGGATTATACTTCTTGGCTGGCCTGGGAACACCAGCCTCCTCCAGCTTGCCGAGGGGACAAGCTGAAAGGAGGCGGGGGAGAGAGAGGTCTAGGCTTCTCTGCTTAGGCTGCCATCCCCTTGACCCAGCCCCGTATAAGGGGAAGAAGATGAATTGATGGATGGATAACTGATAACCTCGTTACTGAAACTAGACAAGCTACCCACCCTTAGAGAGGGAAAAGAGTAAACAGTAAGTAAACAGGATTCTGAGTTCATCCAATTCTCAAGAGAAGACAGCAACAAGGACAATTTCATGGTTGGATACAGGAGTCTAAGTTGTATCACAACCACTTTTGCACATTTTTCAGGATATCAGTGTCAGTTTGAACCCTTTTTTGGCAGAGTTGAGACCACATATGTGGAGGCAGAGAAATCGAGGCGAGGGAGCCGGAGCAACATGTAGCTATACGTCTGAGGTAACTTTTTGCCAAATGCAGTGGTCTGATTGGTCAGATCTGTTTATTCGCATGTGAAAACTTAGAAAAAAATAATTCAGTTTGAAAAAAATAAATACCACAAATTCATCCAGTGAAATTATGTGGTGGGTTTGAACGGCTGTATTAAGGATATCCGAGTCCAGAAAAAAAATTTCAGGATATATTTTCATGGATTTTACGCATCCGGTGTGATATGAGTGACTATGAGTGTAAAATAGGGCTGTGCACAAATAGCCAACTAATTCTCACTGCTGTCACTAGGTGATACCAGACTTGTTAATCATTTAACCTGATTGTTACAATTTAAATTGATGCCCATGCCGGTAAATTACTGTGTCCTAAATGTTG